CCAGTGAAATTGGGGGTGAACATTTTAACTTTCTAGACATCACTCTGTCATTACAAGAGGACGGTAGAATTTCTACAACACTGTACCGTAAAGGAACAGCTACAAATAGCCTCTTAAACTGGGATAGTTATCATCCCTATCCCTCTAAAGCGGGTATCCCGATTGGGCAATATCAGCGTCTACACAGAAACTGCTCAACCCTCGAAGATTTTAAGATAAAGGCCGCTAATTTGCGGAAATCTTTCAAGGATAAAGGGTAAAGGGATAAAGGCATACTCAAGGGCACTAAACTCAGACAGAGCGAATCTTCTTGAGGACAAAATCTTACCCTCTAGCCATCAGATTTGTTGTATTGGGACACATGATGCAGGTTGGCACACAATGCTGCAGATTCTTGGCAGATACTGGCCGATCCTGACATCAGATGTTCATATTAAATCAGTCATCTCTCCTTTTCCTTCCGTTACGGCACATAGAGGCAAGAGCTTTAAGGACCTCTTGGTACCTAGCCACTTTGGTCCATCTAATAAATCTTCTAAATCCTATTTACCTAAAGGCACTTATAGATGTGGTCACTGTAGTGCCTCTCAGTACATAGGTAAAGAAACAAAGATTTTCTCCGACAGTTTGAATCTCGACTCCCACTCTGTACAGTCTTTTTTCAATTGCCGTACAGAGGGAGTCATTTATCTTTTGACATGTTCTTGCGACATGAAGTATGTCGGAAAAACATTCCGACCTTTTAAGTTCCGCATTAGAGAACATGTCAACTCAGTTAGAAGTAAACTGGAAACTCCCATCTCAAGGCACCTCAAGACTTGTCATGCAAATTCATCCAGTAGGATATGCTTTATGGGCATAGAACTCAAAACCCAAACACAACGTAAAGGGGATTGGGATTGTAGGCTCAAACAAAGAGAATCTTACTGGATATATAAATTGAAAACACTGTCACCACAGGGATTGAATGAAGGTTTTTCATTCTCATCATTTTTGTAGACTGGTAGGTATTTCCATCAACAGATTCTATACAACCATCTGATCTACCTTTATAATAATTGTTTGCTGTCTGTAAATATGTTTATATGTAAATAAGTTAATAATAATAAAAAAAATCCTCTTTTTTGCATTAGTTGCATGGTTCCTAATAGGTCTCTTACCTTATTATATTACATAGCTGCCTTAAATGGTGGTGAATTCCATTCGAGATCAACCAATATTCAGTCATTCTTGATTTGAAACGTTGTTTCATTACTTGTACAGTATAAAGAATATATAACTCTCTATAGTGTAAACCTAACTTAAGCCTTATACTTAATTGCCATTATAAATAAATATGAATCCCATTGGAAGCATTGTACAGCAGGGTGCTATACTTTAGTGTCCAGGCAAATTTAGATGTATATGGCTAGGTATATAGAGGGTAACTAATTAATTACCTTTTATAACTTAATTAATTCCTTTTGACTGTCAACATGAGTACATAGCAGTACTATATGCCTTTAATGTTTTTATACATTTGGAGGCACTTATTTTACATTTTATATATTAATATTTGGCATGATGACTGACTGTATGATCTGTCAGTCAGTTTCGTGCCAAAGGTGTTGCTAGAGGGAGGGGGGATTAACTATTTAGCCCCTTCCCTGTGCTACATTTTGATACTCCTCATTGTTATCATAATGTATACTGGTTAGTTAGTTTTATATTAGCCTCGTTATTAGGAGGAGGGACGCTCGATTCTGCACCCTCCTCCTATATTGATTGACTGATAGATCCTTCAATGGTTATTCCCACGCGAGCAGCAAAGTCTGGGTAGGTGTGTTCTGATTACGCATAAGCTCCTCCCCCATCTCTGTTATTGACTATGGTATTCTCCAATGAGACTCCAGCATAAGCGATGACGTGGTTGAGGAGGAGTGGTGACTCCACGTCAATCACCCACTCCTCCCACACGTCGGATCAGCTGGAGGGATTTTTCTCCGATTGCTCAGGTATTTAACCGGCTTCAATAGGACCGGCAATTGCAATAGCTCCTGGCGACGGCGTGTATGCACGCTGAAATGCGTGTCGAGCTCCTTTTTTGATTTATTATTTTTTTCTTTCACATTAGGTAGCACTTAGGTAGTTAGTATGTTTGATTTAGTTAGTTAGTATAGTTAGGCTTTTTTTTTTTTTTTTTTGGTCCTGGGGCGTCTCCTCTGGACTTAGGGCTTGTCCTTAGTGGGTCTGCCCTTGTCTCTTTCCCTATTCATGTTTGTATAGGTTCCTGTTTGCCTGCCTTTATATTAGTGGGGTGATTTATGTATCACACATATTTTGTGTTTTATTTTTGCAGCTTAGGTGTCTTAGTTTTGGACATCTTTTCTAGTATGAATGCTAGAGTCTTTCTTTGTTAAAGGGACATTCCTTTGCTGCTATTAAGTACAATTAGTAGTGGTTTATATAGGGTATATATGGGTATCTCTATTTATTCCCTTTCACCATTTTATCCACTAACAAGTACAGCCCCCTGTTTTCCTCTACTTACCATCTGGTAACTATACCATTTATTCTGTTAAGATCAGCAGCTACTCCTGAGATCCCCTTGTTTCAAGGGTCTCCGTCATTCTATTACTGAATCATAGCTTACCTACATGCCCAACGGTAATCACTCTCATATCACACATAGCATGCAAACTAGCAAACACAGCAGCACTGTTCATGCCAGCAATAGACATGTAACAAGCATATCGCCTAGCATTTACGTTTTCTATTAGTTTACAGTTCTATTTTAAAGTTGCACTGAACTCCCAAATGTATACACTACTTAAGGACCTAAACTGCTACAATTTTGTTATCTGCTACCTAACAAAAAACAATGTGCCTGACAATCGATTGCCACAACATGTAATGCAAATGTTCATTGCTGCACCTTGATATCGCTGTTGTGGCACACCAAGGCGTAATGTTATTTCTTGCACACACCAAAATAAAGAATTTAAAAAATAAATAAAAATAAAGATAGGAAAGATGTTAGAATATATGAAAAAAGAAAATAAAAGCGACCCTCCAATGTTACCAATTATTCTGCATTTTAATAACAAAAGCATGACCATAAAGAAAATAATTTAAAAAAAACACGGGCACATCCTGAAACAAGACGACCTTCTAAAAGACCAGATTCTAGATAGACCCAATATCATCTTTAGAGGAGCCCCTAATTTTAAAAGCATCCTCACAAAAAATTACACAAAAAACAGAACAAGTTTTCTATCTAAACCAAAAGGTTTTTTCAAATGCAGTAAATGCATAGTGTGCAGAAACACAGACACAATAATCAAATCCAAAACAATTTTTTTCCTCCAATAATATAGGTAAATCCTACCCCATTAAAGATTTTATAGGTTGCAGCACAAAAAAAAAAAAAAATATATATATATATATATATATATATATATATATATATATATATATATATATATATATATATATATATATATATATATATATATATATTGGAATGCCCCTGTGGACTACAGTATATAGGGATGACCACAAGATGCCTAAAGATCAGACTAGCTGAACACTGCCGTAACATCATCAAAGGGTATGAAAACCACTCATTTTATTAAACACAATAAAAATCCAAAATTACTAAAATGCATTGGAATTGAGAAATGCAATATATCCTAAAGAGGTGGTGACATGAGGAAATCTTTAGGTAAAAAAATAAATGAACTGGGTCTTCCAATTAAAAACCTTCTGCCCAGATGGTCTAAAAGCAGATTTGATCTGTTTAACTATATGTCATTTTATGCTTACTTTTTACATGTTGTCGTTACCATATATTTTTATTTAATTCTTTATTTTTCCGTGCATAAGTTTAAACATAACATTCGTTCATGTCTTGCCCCAACAGTAGGAACATGTTTGGAGAGTACAAAGCATAACAGTTGTGGCAAAGAAATTAAATGCACATTTTTTAATTTAGTTTTTAGAGACATCAGGTTTAAACAAGGTGACAGTCAGAGATGCAGTAACACTGCAGTTAATAAAAGATAGGTTGTACTGGCTGACTATATGAGTGAGAAGTATAGCTAGATAAACTTGTGCTTTACTCCGTGACACATTAGGCCATTGAGAATCATAACAGTTGACTGATTAAACACAGCTTGTGCTAGCTAATATGTATGTGGTTGGCATGTCATAGTGTTTAGTAATATACGTAGGCTGCCAAGTTAACATACAATTGATACGTCGTGTCAGGAGTTAACTAGGTAGCAGGCAATCTATAGTGTTACAGATAGATCCTCGATTTAAAAAAAACATAGTACAACAAGCTTAATGTCCACCAGGGTTTACTTTATGGAGGTCCCGCTGTCCCACGGGTTCAGCGTCGGCGGGTTGCTTTCCGGCTTGCTAGGTTGTTGGATCTTTGTTGCTTGTGCCTCCGACCTGGATGTAATAGGAGCTGTGTCTCGTGGAGAGGGAGAGTCTGGTGCATATCACACAGCCGGCCACGGGCTCTAAATGAGCTGACCGCATGCATCCTCGGTTCTGGTACCTTACAAGGCCGGCAATGGGATTCCCGGTGAGTGTGCACCTTCCAGGTGGTGGGCTGCAGTTTGAGGGGTGTCCTCTAAGGGCTCCAGGCCCTGGAAGGCTGATGTGGCGACCAGGCCCAGCCATTAGGTGCGGTGGATGGAAGACGCAGGCGGATGTTGAGGGAGCTCCTGAATCCCTGAAGGTGAGGTTAGTTGCCTCTGGGTGCGCTGCTTATGGCGTGTGTAGCCTGTTGTGGGTCTTGGAGCCGCCATGTTGGTGGTGGGGCACAGCGTGCGCCCTGTTGTCGAGCGGGCCTCGTAGGGGATGAGTGGTTGGTCTTCGGCCTCCTCCGGTGGCCTGTGGGGGAGGGGGGGGCCTGTGAGGTGTGTCACAGGGCTGCAGTGTGGCCGCCAGACTTGTGGGCTGGGCAGCGGCCGTCCGCCCCGCTCCACGTCCGATTAGGCCGCAGGCTCCGAAGCTTTGTACCCCAGGGGCCCCAAAACTCCCGATCTCGGAGTCTACGGTGGCGCCAACCTTCACCCATTCACTTGAGCGGGTAACTCCGTTCCCTTGGTGTCCTTGGGACCATGATTATTGCTGTTTAGGTTGGATGTAGCAGGAGCCTCGGTGACATGCGACCGGTTAACATGGCGGTCAGGCCCCGCCCCCGTTACCATATATTTTTACCCTTTCCTGTTTTTTTTAAAAAAAGTTTGTATATTTTATAATTTTTTCTTTATATTTTATTTATATACATTTTTATACCTCTTATATAATTTTTTTATTATATATATATATATATATTATATTTATTATTTTTATTACTTTGTATTTATTTTTATTTTTTAAACTATTTCAATCCATTTAGTCTTTCATTCTTAGTTTTTATTTTAATTCCATTTTATATGTACATCTATTTTTAGTGTTATTGTTTTTTTCTGTTTGTTAATTTTTCATAGGTTTTATACTTACTCTTGTTTATTTTTATATTTTTATACTTTTATTATATTTTTAATTTTTCATTCCTATATTCATCCTCTTCACAACTAAGATTTTTTCCAAATTAGATATTTTCCTAATACTCTATATTTATTACCCAGTGGTACATACAGTAAAAACAAAGTGGGGGGGGGGAGCGGACAGTCGAGCTGAATGGAAGCCATCTCATGCAGCTCTGGTCCTGAGCCTGAATAAACACTGACTTACCGCTCACAAAACGACAAAATCTGCGAGGAATCAGCAGACATCACAAAGAGATCAGTTGGTGGCTGAAGACCCCACAAATATGAGGATTGTGAAGCCTCTGCCCTACTTGATGGCATGAGTCTGCGGCCTATTGCTGAAGATGCAAATACTCTGCTCATGTCCCGTGAATCATCATGATATGAAGGTGCCTGTCTTTCCCAATTTGGTTCTCAGCCTTCACTTGCTGAACTTTGGATAAAGCTTTGACCCTATGTACCCAGCCACTGTATGGGAGACAGTGCTCACACTGTGAAAGCTCCCTTCTTGCCTTACCAGGGAACAGGCGAGACGACTCTCCACATATTTACCCAGGAGACTCCCCACGCATCGCTCAGGTGCCTCAGAGGGACTGCCGACAAGTAATGGCAACATGAGAACTAGGCCGTAAATTCTACCTCTAGGTGATCTGGAGGGTGATGTACTTCGTTGCTGTGAGCCCAGCCGGGCTGGACTGTGGGGGCCTGCGGCGGACCGGTGACCGCGGGGCCATGTGGCCCATGTTTTGGAGGAGTGGCCGGCGATAGAGAAGGCTTAAGGAGGTGCCCTGTCTGATCTACTGAGACTCTGCCAGGACAGTGGAGGTGCAGAGGCCGTCCAGTTGGTGGACTCTAGGAGAGGGGGGTATCATGGACTGGGGGGTCCCTCGAGTGCTCGCTGTGCCGAGAAGCTCATGGTGGGGGGCTTTACCTGGTGTCGGACATTTGTTGATGCATTAGGTATGGCCCTACAGAGGCTTTGTGCTACTCCTTCATCACACCTGGGAATGGAGGCATGAGGGAAGGCACGAGATACATTCCTATGCAGGGATAGCTTTCACCTAAGGCAGTCTGCTATCCTCCCATAACCAACCCTCCTTCCCTCCCCCCCATCTTTTTTTTTTTTTTTTTTTAATCAAATTTTTTACATTGGGCCTTCTCCCACAGGCCCCTCCTTATTCCCAGGGACACCCTTTTTTTCTTTTTTACTTTATCACATTATAACTGTTCTGATCTCTTGTGGGAGATACACACGCTACAATCCTGACACATAGTCTGAGCTGTAGATCCACAAATCCAGCAGCAGAATAGGGTAGATTATACAGCCTAGTTAACAACACCGCTTCTGTCACACGATAAATTACCAGCAACCACTGACTCACAGGTGTCAACTAACATATAAGCTACCCATGCTATATACTCTTATTCTCGCATATTAAGGCTCAATGTTCACAACTATAATCTAGCATATTGATTTGGTTCTTAGTATTACACTTCTTTTTTTTTGTTGTTTTTTTATTAATTAGGCCTACTCACAAACGATTCACTGTGTAATGATACACGCTTCCAATGTTAATTTTGAATTTTACATATATGATTTATTATGCTGCATTGAACGCTCGTATTATGATTTTCTTCTCAAGCTTATATAATTTGGATGGAAGGAGGGCCTGACACACTGTTGCAAACATGGGATTTCTTACACACCAAGCCCCACACCATTCAATACCGCTATTTGTTATGTCTATAATGTATGCACTCATATAATTCTCGTGTATTTAAATGAGTGTTAATGCAGGTACCTGAAGTTACTACAGAGAGTTCAGAATATTTCACTTTTTTGGGTTTATTTACGCACAACCAAAATGAGGTTTCGTTATTTTTAAGTTCGTTTAGCACACCTCTGCAATTGCACTCAACCTTCATGCAATAACATTTTACAATATTATCGTATAACATATTTTATGTATGTAAATTGATGCGGTCTTCTATTGATGCGTTATTTTTAAGCTCTGCAACCACATTATTGCAATTCACCTTAATGCATTGTAATACTACAATACTATTGTGCACCAGCCTATACTGTAACATATTTGCACTTCCAACTGCAAATGTATGCAAACTGATGTGAATAAAAGCATTTCTTTAAAAAAAATAAAAAATATAAAAGAAACAAATTGAAACCAATGTGGCTTAGTAGAGATGTTGTCAGAGGTGGCGGTCCGATGACCGGGACCCAGCATGCCTGATCTTGATATTAGGAGTCACTGTATGGAAATGGACGATTAGGGCCTGGTGCTGGTAATCACACGCCCCCTGGTGTTAAGCACCAGCGCTTGTGCGGCCACATACCAGGGCCCTGATGCAGCTTCTGCGGATCACAGGTGTCAGATGACAAGAAGCAGGATCTGAATAGGGAAGCAGATATGTATCCAGTACTAGAAACAAGGTACAACTAGAATAGATACCAAACAAGAAAACAAGACAAAACTAGGAGAACCCAGAACCGGAGCAGGACAGAAAGCATAAGCCAAAAAATGTACACAATATAAGAGGGAAACATGAACAGGGCAGGACAGGACTGTACATGAACTAGGAATTTTGTTCAAGACAAAATAAAACAAGACAAGAGATACAAGGCAAAACAAGAGGAGACATAACTAAGTACTATATATGTAAAACATTGGAGATTTAGACATACATAAATGGCCAAGATGTATGCAGCCCACCACTGCGCCAAAGTACTCCAATTAAGGTGGGTCCTACTTACCTGCAAAGAAAGGGCAGAGGACTTGGAACAACTGAACCTGCAGGAACCAACTGAAACAAAAGGATTAATGGAAAAGGAAAGGGTGTGGCAACATAAAACAAACATATAAAGGAATCCAGGCGACTGGGAATTCCAGGAACGGAATAAAGGAATGGACCCAGAAAACCCAGCATAACAAAAACCAGACATGGACTAGAGAACCAGAAAAACTAAACAAGAATTGTAAAAAGTGTACTGGATACCAGAAGGCCAGACATCTCCACAGAACAGAGCATGATGTGACAGTAGTTAAAAAAGAGATTACAAATAATAAAAGGGTATTTAAAGCATTTAAATCAGACAAATCAGAGGCATCCAATAAAAAAATATAAGGAAGCCAATAATGCTTGCAAAAATTAAAGTGGCTACACTAGAAAATGAGAAATTGATAGCCAAAGAATGCAAAACCAACCCCCAAATTTTTCTCAAGTAAATCAATTCAAAAAAAAAGAGTGTACGTACACTGGAAACAGAGATGGGTCTGTTAGTTAATGAAGACCAGGAAAAGGCAGAAATTTTAAATAACTATTTTTCCGCAGTATATATTAATGAGGATCCTATGGCAAGAGATATACAATTGATTGCTGCAAACAACTTGTGATTGGATGACTCGAGACAAGGTGCTACAGCTGTTAAAGAAATTGAATGTAAATAAAGATACAGAGCCTGACGGTATTCACCCACGAGTACTTAAGGAGCTAAGTGGGGAAATAAGTGAACCTCTGTATTTAATCTTCCAAGATTATTTTGTTTCAGGTACCGGAGGATTAGAGGAAGGCAGATATTGTTCCCATATTTAAAAAAGGGTTCAAAATCCTTGTCTGGAAATTATAGACCTTTGAGCTTAACTTCTGTGACTGGGAAAATATTTGAAGGGCTATTAAGGGATAATATTCATGAATTCATTGGAAAGAACTTTATTTGCAATAATCAGCATGGTTTTATGAAACATAGGTCATGTCAAATGAACCTAATTGTATCCTACGAAGAAGTAAGTAGAAGTATCAATCAAGGTGTTGCAGTGGATGTGATCTATTTGGATTTTGCCAAGGCATTTAATCTGGTTCCTCACAACAGGTTAGTCTTCAAACCAAAAGAAATTGGTCTAGATGAATATTCTTGTTCTTTGGTAGCACATTGGCTTAAGGATAGAGTACAACAAGTTTTCATTAATGGTACATTTTCAAGCTGGACAAAATTGGTAAGTGGTCTCTAACAGGGATATGTTTTGGGACCGCTTCTATTTAACATATTCTATTTAACATATTTATAAATGATCTTGCAATAGGCATTGAAAGCCATGTTTTAGTGTTTGCAGATGACACAAAACTTTGAGCACAATATTGCTTTGCTGCAGAGGGATTTAGATAGATTGGGGGTCTGGGCACTAAAATGGCAGATTAAATTTAATTTAGAGAATTGCAAAGTTATGCACTTCAGGGTCAAGAATGCACAAGCAACTTACACCCTAAATGGTAGTGAATTATGGATAACCACACACGAGAAGGATTTGAGAATTGTTATAGACAACAAATTAAGCAGCAATATGCAATGTCAATCTGCAGTTGCTAAAGCCAGTTAGGTTTTCTCATGTTCTATTACCATTTGATGGAGCCTTGTTGTTGGCGATATGCGTTTGGTTGCTTTTTAATATTTTTATTTGTTAATAAAGGAATATTGTCCATTTTACTTTTTCTGTGCCATATGCCTTTTTATTTTTTATATTATTTGTTTTTACTATTTTAAACCTGGTCATCAAGAAATCTGAAGATCTCTAAACTAAAGAATCCCAGGTGGGGATTATACCACCTACTAGGGATCGACAGATTATCGGTCTGGCCAATATTTTCGGCCGATATTCGGTATTTTCGGCAATATCGTTATCGGCCTATAGAGATACTGATATTGCCGATAATGTAGTCCTGGAGGGCCCGCAGCAAGCTCTTACATACCTTCCCAGCAGCTCCCTTCAGCTCTCCTGTTTAAATCTCGCGAGTCTCGCGGCCGTCAGAGCGTTGCCACGTGTTACCATGGCAATGCTCCACGTGGCAAGCTGGCTGCGAGATTTAGACAGGAGAGCTGAAGAGAGCTGCTGGGAAGGTAAGTAAGAGCTTGCTGCGGGCTGCACAGTCCATGCCACAGGATCACCAGGGAATGTCATATCCCCAATTTTTTTTTTTTACTATTTAAAAAAATAATATTTTTTTAAATATTTTAAAATGAAAAAATAAAAATGACCACCCCCCATTTTACACACATTACATACCTACACAAACACACACACACTCTGCATTATATAAACACACTACACAAACACTGCATTCACTATACACACACTGCATTTACTTAACGCCCACTACACACACTGCATTCACTTTACACACACCACACACTACATTCACTATACACACACTACATAAACACACACATTCTGCATTCATTATATACACACTACACACTCACTGCATTCACTATACACACTACACAAACACTCTGCATTACGTATATACACACACTGCACTCACTATACACACACTAGACAAACACACACACACTCATTATATACACACACACTACACAAACACTGCATTCACTATACACACACACTGCATTCACTATACACACACTACACACACACTGCATTCACTATACACACACTACACACACTGCATTCACTATACACACACTACACACACTCCATTCACTTTACGCACACTACACACACTGCATTCACTTTATGCATAATGAATGCAGTGTGTGTGTTTGTGTAGTGCTTGGTGTGTGTAAAGTGAATGCAGTGTGTGTGTAGTCACACACACTGCATTCACTTTACACCAAGCACTACACAAACACACACTCTGCATTCATTATATACACATTACACAAACACTCACTGCATTCACTATACACACTACACACACTGCATCCACTACACACACACATTGCATCGACTACACAAACACACACTGCATTCACTAATCAAATACTCTCAGTGCATCCACTACATACACATATATTCTTGAAAACATAAACAATTCTGACTGGCATGTATATTTTGTGCATTTACCTTAATTAAAAAAAAAGATTTGCAATATATATATATATATATATATATATATATAATAATAATAATAAACATGTTCAGTAAACAGTAGATTTGTGTAGAAATAGTTTATTTTTTTCAAAATGGTAAATGTACAGAACATCGGTAAGTTATCGGCTATCGGCCTGAAAGTTCACAGATTATCGGTATCTGCTCTAAAAAAATCAATATCGGTCGATCCCTACCACCTACGCCTAAAGAATTGAGCAGTATTTCCTGCTCATTCATATGTGTGTATAACACCTCAAATTTGTATGCTTTTAGAAATATTTTATACAGAAAGCACTATCTTTTACTTTTTTTTTTTTCCTGCCGGGACAACATTATTCTGAGAAACCTACAAACAACATGGTCACCTATATCCTACCAGTGGGGGATCAATGCCACTGAATGCGAACCATACCCAAGCTTGTACTAGCTCTACAATAGGTGAGTAGGAGTAATACAAATTTCTAATTCACTTGCCTGTGACATACTATACCATTTGACTTTTTTTTTACCTCACTCTATGTTTTAACTAGATCAAGAGAAACCGTGACTTCAAGACTCCTATGAAAAAAAAATACACTAGGTCTACGCCTCATCTTTATAACCAGGACTTTCTGCTAACCTCCATATATTATCTTTGGACTGTAAACCTTGATATTTGACTTTTACTGTAAGCACAATATGTTTATTATACCTTTAATAAAAAGAACTGTGGCACATTCTGAAAGGATGCCTGTGTCATGGTCATACAAGAAAAAGGATACCCACAAAGTGAGGGTCTAAAAGCCATATTACCAGGCCTTAGAGTGGCCGGATTTACTGATTTACTAGAGAGAATCAAGGTCAGGAATACAGAGATATGGATACATGAAAAACAAGCCAGGTCAGGATAATATAAATACACCGGCCAATATACAAGCCAGGTCAGGATACCAGAAATACACAAATTACAGAAATAAAATGAATGACCCAATCGGGGAGCATGGTTGTCAAAGTGAGGGAACCAATATCTTTTTTTCAAGCCCATACCCCTTCCAATAAACAAGATACTAAAGACTAGCCCTAATGAATCTAGAGACAAGGATAGCAGCAGCTGGATATTACAGGCTGTCTCCCACCATATTGAAAGAATCTGAATGACAATGGCTATTTGCCTGAGCCTTAAAACAAGAGCTGGTGTACCTGCTCCCAAGTATTATGCAAACCAGCCATGTGCTCATCCAGAGCCAGCATTCCCCATGAGGAGAATACAGGAGGGAGAACAACAAGATGCCGGCCATAGACAACGTAGAAAGCAGTGGCGGAACTACCGCAGGCATAGGCGTGTACAGACTATTGCATTAGGGTGTGCACCCTAAAGCACAAACACACATGACGTGTGTATTTATATATATGTATGTGTATATATATATGTGTATATATTGTCTCAGTGTGAGGGAACATTGCTATATTTGCCTCAGAATGGCACTTTTAGTGTGAAGAGCTGGGGAGGAGACAGAGAGACTGTGAGCTGAAGAGACTGGTGAAACTGTGTGGAAAGTAAAGGTATTTAGCAAGCCTTTATTTTTATTTGTCAAACTACTGGGGTCAGCTAAGCGGCCCAGTAGCATAGAAAGGGTACTTTGTTAGTTAGTCTCCAGTGTTGAGTATGATTTTTTTCGGTTTAATGCTTTGCTGTGGCTAAATTGGGGCTGGCTTGCTAAATAAAGTTTTCCTCATATGTGGAGGGGCGTGGCTAGCCGAGCAAGGAACATGACGTGCTGGTGTGGAGCTCCTGCAAACCACACAGCTATACAGATTTAAAAACAAGCAGACATCCGCATGTCCTTCGAAAGGCCGCAGCAGCATGCAGAGCCCAAGATGGCGCCCATGGGTCCACGAGACTCAAGCTCTGCGGAAGACTCTGCAGAGGATGACAGCAGTACACCATCCTTGAACGCGGTGTACGGGAGCGACGACTCTGACGCCTCACCCTCCACAAAGGGGGATATTAAAAAACTATTGGTGGACTTAAGGAAGGTCTGGAGGCCGACCTAGCTGGCGTGCGCACCGAGGTCGACAGTCTCGCTGCTAGAATCAAAGTGGCTGAAACTAGAGACGGGAGGAGAGAGCAGGAGCTGTTGGAGACACGGGCCCAAATGAAAACAATGTCCGAGCAAATACAAGGACTCACCTGAGCGGTCACATCAATAGAGGCCAGACACTGCAAGAAAAATGTGGGGATCCGCAGGGCGCCCGAGAGCGTGGGCCCAGATGCTATCCTCAAATTTGCCAACACAGCGGTGGCAGCACTAGGAGTGAGACCCACAGCGGGAGCATCACCCATCACGACCGCTTTCCGAATACGGAAGGTTCCAACCACCCCCGCTGACTCACCCAGGGACATCATAGCGGTTAGCAGGGACATATCTGTTAAATCTACAATCCTGACACGATCAAGAAGCACCCCTACTGTCGTGATGGATGGATGCTCCATCCGGATATATGAGGACTTACCTTTTAACATCCTATTTGAGAGACGGAGGTTCATGCCCGTGACGAAGAAGCTCTGGGAAAATGGGATAAGATACAGATGGGGAGCATCGGGCACTCTTATGGTGCAACAAAGAGACTCTGTCCTAACCCTGTTGGCGTAGGAAGATCCTGCGGGTTTCCTGAATGCGCTACACCTACTGCAGCAGACCGCCACCACATAGGCCACAGTTACAACCTCCACAGCTGAGGGGCCAGCCTAGAGAGGCGACCAGTCAACGAAGCGGGAACAGCGCATAAAAAAAAAATCACGATTGCTGAACCCGACTGTGCCAGCCTCTTTCCAAGTGTAGACACGTTCACTCCTACAACTACTGCGGTAACCCTTAGATATAAGTACCAAGCCTATGGAACGCCAGAAGGCAACTTTTCTATACATACAAGAGACAAACGGCAAATGTACATGTTTTTTATAATTCTACGTTTCTTAACTTTTATTATATTTTATATATTCTATATTGTTAATTGTTTTATTTTTTATTCCTCGTTATTATCACCTCACTGTCTGCTATTAAGATTTACTTAGGAGTGGCAACACCGCAATAAGGTGAAATTTAACTAAGGCACCCCAGCCTGCTAAGTACTAAAATGCACAGCCTTAGACCATATACGACGCACAGGCTTTACTGATATTGATAATGACATTAATGACTGTAATTTACTAAAATTGTGCTCATTGAGTGTGGATCTCGCGGGAGAGGCGCCGGCATATAACAGGCAGTTATACCTGAAATAGTTAATATGACACAGATTGAGACAACACGCCTATTTGTTATACCTAAAACATAATCTTTTGCATAGCTCTAAGCTGAAGGGTTGCCACAAGCATAATTTTCCCATAGGGGCCACCTTATTCGCACAAAATGTGCCTATCACCCACGCACTGCGTCGCTACTAAGGCATGTAACCATAGACAGTTTGTTGGCGCCATCACTATGAGATCACCAGGTCCGGGCATGGTGTGTATAACGAAATGTGGGTCAGATCTCTGAGTATTTAAACCGAATAGGGTACTGCCCATTGACCCCTACCATAGAAAGTACATGAGCCCCCTGGAGACTACCACTCCAATTTCAGTTTATATTGGGAGGGTATGCCGCAGCACATTAAGGGTAATGTGTGTGTATCCTATTATTTCTTTGGGCATTTTCTCATACTCAAAAACACATACTTTTTTATTCATACCTATTGTTAATGACCATACGTTTACACCCTGTAACACCAAAATGTGCGACTGTATTCTGCCATGATAAAGCATTGCTTAATTGTGCCTGTGTCTGCTGTTGGGGCACCACAGGCTTGTCTGTACATCTTGTTGCACAAAATTAAATAAAGAATTTAAAAAAAGGTTTTCCTCATATTGGAAGAAAGAATTGTTTCTGTTGTTTATGACCAAAGACCAGGCCAGCCTGCTACAATGTGTATGTGTATATATATATATATATATATATATATATATATATATATATATATATATTTATTTGTGGTCAGAACTTAAAGGACCACTAAAGGCACCCAGACCACTTCAGCTCAATTAAGTGGTCTGGGTGCCAGGTCCCTCTAGTTTTAACCCTGCAGCTGTTTACACTGAGGGTTAATCCAGCCTCTAGTGGCTGTTTCACAGTGAGAAGACGCTGGATGTCCATAGGAAAGCATTGAGTAATGCGGTTTGAATGCACGCATGGTTTTAACCCCTTCAGCCCAGCGGGAGGGGGGGGCCTGAGGGTGGGGGGGACCTAATGACCCTATAGTGCCAGGAAAACAAGTTTGTTTTCCTGGCACTATAGTGGTCCTTTAAATCGTATATGGAAGTAGAGGACAGGGGGAAAGTTGGTAGTGGTGTGCCGAAACCAACGTACGGGTAGGCCTGTAATAATAATAGTAAGTTAATATCATAATAATAGTAAGTTATTAGAGGGATTTGTGGGTGGGGTCGCTCAATCAGGAAACGGCATAGGTAAGCAGGGAGGTAGAATTTATATAGGGAAAACTCTTCCCACAAATTCAGGCCTATGGCCTTTTACTTGTGGTCAGAACTTAAATCGTATATGGAAATCGAGGACAGGGGGAAAGTTGGTAGTGGTGTGCCGAAAACAACGTACAGGTAGGCCTGTAATAAAGAGGGCATAACGATATTGCAGGAAAACACACTTTATTGCAAACTCATAATGCTAAACATTTAAAAGCTTTCCTGAGTTCTCTCTCAGGTTGCAGAATATAAGTGTTGTAGATGGAGGCTTTCCATTGGCCTATTCTTTTAATGATATGGACTGGTGTGTCCATACTGGAGGCTGTGGAGGCTGCACCAATGCTGAAGGAGTGACCAGAAAACGAGGTGGGGTTATGTCCTAGTCTTAGCAGCAATGTTCTAACATGAAATATAAATTTGGAGGTGGTTAGTGGGGGTCCGTTAAGAAGTAGTAAGGGATAGTTAGCCAGGAGGCTGTTGCGTGTGGATAGAGATGAATTGAGTATTTTTACGGGACACCAGAGGTTATCTGTTGGAAAGAGAGGGATTGTAGACGGATAGTTTGTGAGGTTAGTTTTAGATGTATGTAATGACATAACATAATGGTCGCCGTGTTTGACCTTGACCGATAATTTTAAACTTGTGCTGATATTGGATTGACTGATCACAGTGAACTCTCAGGATCTAAGGAAGCCGTAGAAGGCGATGTTAATAGCTACTTTGATGATAGAGTTAGCCTGTGTGTTGGGGTTGTGTCCAATAGGTCCAAGATATTCCTGAATATGGGTCCGTCTATGGGTAGTCTGTAGGTAGTAGGAGGTCAATCTATTTTGTTGCTACCTTTAAGAATAGTTTTTTGGGGTATGAGGAAAGAAAAGGTGGGTGATTGGGAAAGGTTGTGAGGACGTGGTGCTGTATACCTGTAAGATATAATTTGATAGTGTTATGTGCTACTTTGAGGTGTAAGCGACAAAAAGTGGCAAAAGCCACCATTGTCTCTATAGAGTAATTATCCAAAACGTGAAACTCGCTACCAAATTAGCGGAAAACAGTCAACGCCCTATTTTATGCTGTCTTAGTGTTGGCTGACAGGATGTTGCGTGAGAGTGATTGTGCCTTGGTCAATAATCCCGTTAGTCCATGATTGTCTCTAGAAATATCGGTATTCGGGATGGGAGTTCATTGGCGGACAGATGCTCCTCGTAGAATGCCTGAAAATTAGACCGGGACAAAGCATCAGCTGCCTTATTTTGAATGCCCAGAATGTGTTCGTACACCAAGAAGAATTGTAGTTTGGCGGCCAGCCACGTCAACTTTCGTACCAAACACATTATGGTCAAGGCGGAAGAGCGTCCTTTATTGATGATCTCGCAAGCTGCCATATTATCTGAGAAACACTTAACTGCCTTACCGGCCCACCGGTGACCCCAAGTATGAGCAGCTGCTACAATGGGGTAGATCTCAAAAAGGGCTGAAGTTTCTCTCATGGCCGGTAAGGTAAGTGTTTCTTGAGGCCAAACATCCCTAAACCAGTGGTTACCAAAAATTGCAGTGAACCCCGTGTGGGCTGCTGCATCAGTCCAAATTACGGGGGAGTGGTCGTCAGTGAGGGGATGAACATGGAGATGCAATTCCACTCTGCCAGGAAGTGCTTCCACATACATAAATTGGCTACGGCTGGGGAATTGAGGACTATGGTGCCATCGTCAGGCACGCTAGGCAGGAGGCAGATTAACCTTTAAGTAAAAGATATCCCCTGTGGAATGATACGCATCACAAAATTGAAGTATCCCAGTAAAGACTTGTACCAGAACCATTTTGAAGGAACGGGTCCAGTTCTTGTCTAATGCATATCAATTTCACATCAGGGAGGCTGCCTGCATGGACACGACATGAGTCTAGTGAGATACCCAGGAATACCAACTGTGTTGTGGGGCCTATCGTTTTGTCCGGGGACAATGGAACACCTAGTGTTGAAAACAGTGCTGTGGTGCTAAGGAGGCTACGTGGTGTGAGTGAACTTGCCTTGACAGGTAAGAAATCATCCACATAGTGTATGACCGTGTTCAGGAGCAGCCAGCATAGAGTCTCTGCAAAGATGTCGAACAGTTGCGGGCTGCTTCTGGAGATGAATATAAAATACAGTGCAGTATAAGTAAGTGACAAAGACCTACACCTATAAGTGGAGCGCTCAAACAAATATAAAGCTTACCAAGCGTGACTTAATTCAATAGTACAATATGAAGTACATGCCCCAAAAAATACAAAAAGATATATAGTGCAGATGGTATTTAAAATTGCAATACAGAAATAATAATAACGTAGCAAACTGTACACTCACATTTTAAGGAGCCTGTATATAAAAAAAACTGGCTCCGTATTAAAGGGACACTATAGTCACCTGAACAACTTTAGCTTAAAGAGACAGTTTTGGTGTATAGAACATGCCCCTGCAGCCTCACTTCTCAATCCTCTGCCATTTATGAGTTAAATCCATTTGTTTATGAACCCTAGTTACACCTCCCTGCATGTGACTTGCACAGCCTTCCATAAACACTTCCTGTAAAGAGAGCCCTATTTAGGCTTTCTTTATTGCAAGTTCTGTTTAATTAAGATCTTCTTATCCCCTGCTATGTTAATAGCTTGCTAGACCCTGCAAGAGCCTCCTGTACGTGATTAAAGTTCAATTTAGAGATTGAGATACAATTATTTAAGGTAAATTACATCTGTTTGAAAGTGAAACCAGTTTTGTTTTTTTCATGCAGGCTCTGTCAGTCATAGCCAGGGGAGGTGTGGCTAGGGCTGCATAAACAGAAACAAAGTGATTTAACTCCTAAATGACAGTGAATTGAGCAGTGAAATTGCAGGGGAATGATCTATACACTAAAACTGCTTTATTTAGCTAAAGTAATTTAGGTGACTATAGTGTTCCTTTAAGGCTTGTATGCTTTTTCTGGTAGCACCACCCTTCCGCTTCGGCTTGGAGTAGTTCTCATAAATAAGACATAAAAGGAGAATGAACCAATGTGTAGACTGTAGCGATAAAAACACGGATGTAAAATAATAAATGTGGTGCTCACCTGGTCCTGAACCTATGGGACCGGCTCTAAGGTGTATAGATGTGGTGCCAATTTAAATAGGGATGGCACTGCCCATATGAAGATTCCTAGAGGCTCCAAAAACGATTGGAACAGGATATCTTGAGTAAAATAACAAATTTATTGATATACAATAATAATAAAAAATAAATGGTAAAAAAGTCCTTTAAAATGGCCAATACATGTTTCACTCTCAATAGAGCTTCCTCAGTCAGCTGTAATGATGGTCCTCTGAATATTCCATTATAAGTGTCCTTTAGGGCTTCCCCTTTATTGATCTGAATGCAGTTTATCCAATCACAGTGGTGTATATATATTTCTTTTGTGGGATAATTTGCGTGTATACCTTTAATTGGCCAAATTTTGGGCGCCTTTATTTATTGACATTTTCATTGGTGGACAATGATGGTTGGCGGAAGTACTGGGGGCCCACCGGGGTGGTTGGCGGAGGTGACGTCACGGACCTCCGTGAACGTCATCTAGCCACCGCCTCGAGGAGACTCCCAGATTCTCCGACCCTGCTACACGCCTCTCATGCGTGCGGGCTGGAGGGAGAGGACTTTGATCCATAGGAGGAGATTCATCCCTAAGAGGCTCCTACCCCCTCCAACACAGCACAGCAATGAAAGGGATAAATAAATGAATAGTGGGCAGGAAAAAAAAAGAGAAAATAATATAAAAAGTGAGAGAGAAGAGGAGACATAGGATAATTATAATTAGTACATTATATTTACATATATACAAAAGCTTAATATGATATTCTCAGTGTATATCTATACCAAGTGACTTATTGTACTTAAAGGACCACTATAGTGCCAGGAAAACATACTCGTTTTCCTGGCACTATAGTGCCCTGAGGGTGCCCCCACCCTCAGGGTCCCCCTCCCGCCGGGCTCAGGGAGGGGGAAGGGGATAAACTTACCTCTTTCTCCAGCGCCGGGCGGGGAGCTCTCCTCCTTCTCTCCGCCTCCTCTCCTCCTCTTCGGCTGAATGCGCATGCGTGACAGGAGCTGCGCGTGCATTCAGCCAGTCCATAGGAAAGCATTCACAATGCTTTCCTATGGACGCTGGCG